GCTCTCCATATCTTGACATAGTCAGCATATAGCAAGACCGATGATGATAGTAGACGAGGAAGGTCATTTATATACAAGAGAAATAACACTGGCCACAAAACAGTGTCCTGAGGTGCTCCACTAAGTATAGTTTCCCAGTTAGACAACTTTGAGTACACCCGTACTCCTTGTTGGTGGCCGACTAGGAAGTCTTTTATCCACATTAATAGATTGCCTCCAATCCCGACATTTCTCAACTAATATAACAGCCGGTTGTGCGGAACTCTGTCAAAGACTTTGCTGAAGTCAATGTAGACTCATTCTACAGGTAACTTTTCGTCCCTAAGAGTGCACCAGCTTTCACGCGCCACTAATAAGTTTGTGAGACAGTAATGACGCATTCTAAAAGCATGCTACTACTCCAAAAGGATCCGGTTTTCCTCGAGATACTTAGGCAGCCTCTTCTGAATATTTTTTTCCAGAATTTTAACAATCACGCTAATTAGGCTAGCGGGTTTGCAGTTCTGAGATTTATGTCTCGTACCTATTTTGAAGACAGGACTTACAATGACGTTCTTCCAGTCTTTTGTTAATAGACTCTGGGTTACGGAAAGATTAAAGCATATAATTAAGGGGTTCGCGACAAAGTTAGGTAATTCCTTTAGTAACTCAGGATGCAGTTCATCGGGCCCCGTGGATTTACCTATGTCAGTCCTATTTGGCAGACCAAGTTCAAGTTCCTTAATGACCAGGCTGTTCGGAGTTTGTGTGGGGGGATTTGTATGGACCGACGGGGTGTTTCTATGACATATACACTGCTAAAGTAGTTTGAGAATAGTTGAGCCCTACCGAAGTCATCCTCCACTAAAGATGAAGCAGTACTGTCTCCTCATAGTGCTGGGATGTTCCCTCTTCTTTTAGTTCTTTGGTTTATATACGAATACAAACGTTTAGGGCATTCTATAAATTCTTTGACAACTTTCTCTTCAAGGCACAGGTATTCTGAGCTTTTCGATATTGAGATTTCGTCCCATCAGTCCCCAGTAACCTAAACATATCCCACATTTTTCTACTCTTACGGGGAAGGATGCGAACCTGCCTACTGGACCGTGGTGAATAGTTTCCCGGCACCTTCGGTGTAGCCCAAGGGATGTGAGTTGCGGAAACTTTTAAGTATAAATTTCGAAGTACGTCACAAGCGGTTTCGATCAAAGACTCTGTCGCTATTGTCCAATCTACTGACGATGCTGAGAGCATGATATCTTGTATGTTTGTTTTCCAGACGTTAGGTCTGAATCTAGCTGACGCGTGCTTGTGATTGACAATTATATAAAAGTCATAGGTTAAAACAACATGATAACTTTTCTATAAGGGTGACATGTAAACGAGGTTCGTAAAGTCATTCTCATAATGGGTCAACATAAGATCTAGTAAGGACGATTCACAGTCCGGGTCGTACCTAGTCACTTCTTTCACATGTTGCACTAGGGCACATGTGATAACTGCACCGACTTGTTTCTGCCTAAAGGACTTTTCTGACACATCAGTCCTCAGATTTTCCTAGTCTAACATAGGTGCATTAAAGCCCCCTAAGATTAGAGATCGATCACTTTGTGATCAAGTTTTTTAAACTGCTTAGGAAGACATCATTTAAGTGACAACTTTGACTGCTTTATATCAAACCAATCAGAAGCACTTGTCCCTTTCATCTGAAGCGGTATATAACTAATTCACCCTTAACACTTTCATGGACTACACTTTCGATAATGGCAAATGGGATAGCATTCCCAATGAATAGAGCTACTCCTCCTCCTCTATGCTTTTGAATTCTGTCAGTCCTTACTTACTTACTTACTTACGCCTGTTACTCCTCGTGAAGGAGCATAGGCCGCTCACCAGCATTCTCCATCCAACCCTGTCCTGGGCAATCCTTTCAAGCTCTTTCCAGTTCTTATTCATCTTTTTCATATCTGCTTCTATTTCCCGACGTAATGTGTTCTTTGGCCTTCCTCTTTTCCGCTTCCCTTCAGGATTCCAAGTTAGCGCTTGTCTCGTAATGCAGTTTGATGATTTCCTCAATGTATGTTCTATCCATTTCCCTCGTCTTTTCCTAATTTCCTCTTCAGCTGGAAGCTGGTTGGTTCTCTCCCACAAAAGGCTGTTGCTGATGGTATCCGGCCAATGGATGTTGAGTATCATGCGTAGACAGCTATTAATAAATACCTGTACCTTCTTGATGGTGGTTGTTGTAGTTCTCCAAGTTTCAGCTCCGTACAGTAGAACTGCCTTGACGTTGGTATTGAAGATTCTGACTTTGATATTGGTTGAAAGTTGTTTTGAGTTCCATATGTACTTCAGTTGAAGGAATGCCGCTCTAGCTTTGCCAATCCTCGCCTTGACGTCTGCATCTGAACCTCCTTGTTTATCGACGATGCTTCCCAGGTATGTGAAGGATTCCACGTCTTCCAGAGTTTCGCCATCACGACTGATTGGATTGCTGTTCTCCGTGTTGTGTTTGAGGACCTTGGTTTTCCCTTTGTGTATGTTGAGGCCTACTGATGCAGAGACTGCTGCTTAGCTGGCTGTTTTTATCTGCATTTGTTCGTATGTATGTGATAGGATGGATAGGTCATCTGCGAAGTCCAAGTCGTCTAATTGGTTCTGAGCTGTCCATCGTATGCCGTGGTTTCCCTCAGATGTCGAGGTCTTCATAATCCAGTCGACCACCAGAAGAAACAGGAAAGGAGAGAGTAGACAGCCTTGTCTTACTCCGGTCCTTACTTGGAATGGGTCAGTCAGCTGTCCTCCATGCACTACTTTGCACTGTAGTCCATCGTATGAGTTCCGGATAATGTTGACAATCTTCTCAGGAACTCCATAGTGTCGAAGAAGTTTCCATAACTTCCTCCTATCTACACTGTCAAATGCCTTCTTATAATCAATGAAGTTGATGTAGAGTGACGAGTTCCACTCAATTGATTGTTCGACGATGATCCGTAGTGTCGCAATCTGGTCTGTGCACGACCGGTCCTTACGGAATCCAGCTTGTTGATCTCGAAGTTGAGCGTGAGGTGAAGTCCTTTCTTGAGAACTTCTTTATGATTGATTGCAGCCCCTCATAGAATTGATCTTTAACGTTGTCGTTGCTATCATTGGTGGGTGCATAACATTGGATAATGTTCATTGTGATCCCCTCCTTCTTTGTTTTGAATGATGCTCTGATGATTCTGGATCCGTGGGATTCCCATCCTACAAGTGCATTTTGTGCTGCTTTGGATAGTATTAGAGCAACTCCCTGAGTGTGTGGAGCATTTTCCTCTTTGTGACCGGAGTATAGCAGCATTTCTCCCGTATTTAGCCTTTGTTGTCCAGCTTGGGTCCAATGGGTTTCACTGATTCCCAGCACTGCCAAGTTGTATCTCCTCATTTCCGTTGCTATTTGACTGGTCTTCCCGGTCTCCCACATTGTCCGGACGTTCCATGTACCTATAAAAATTGTTGCTCTGGTTGTTAGAAGGGGCATCGGCCTCGTGGCTTCTGAAGGAACTCGGCTTTCACCATGAAGCGTCATATTACCTCTAACTGCCAGGGCAGAGTTTAAATGGTTTGAGTTACTTTTTCTGGTTAGGGTTTTTTAAGCGAGTTAGTTTTCTACGGGATGAGGACGCTAACCCCATGCCCAACCCTCCTCCTTTACCCGGGCTTGGGACCGGCAGTAACTCTGGAAGAGCTACAGGCGGATTTGAACACTACTTTAATCAGCCTGGGTAGATCAGTTTTCAAGTTCGCTTGACTACCTAGTCTATTAACCATTAGCAAGGTGACTTCGGAGATATTTCGCCGCATAAGTTGATTCAGTAGATGCTTTATCAGCCCAATTTCACGCTCAAAACGAGTTTTTGGTTCAGATTCTACGAAAAATAACTGATCTATTACTGTGGTCAGCCTTCAATTTCTCGACTACTTTTGGAACGGTAGGATTCTCTTTTATATAGCTATGTCGACTCTTGCTTACAACCTGTACCCATTCGTCAACTATGTTTGGGGTAGCAATTATAGTCACGTCAAACATACTGTGGGTTGTCTCGCGCTAGAAACCGATCGAGCCTTGCGATTGAGGTTTCTAGGCGCTTCCTTCTGGATACCATTTAGAGGAAGAGGGACAAAGGGAACTTCTTTCTCTTAGTTTTCGATTAAGACGGGCCTCTTTGAAAGATATTTTTCCTCCTTTGATCGATATGAGTCAGCTGCTTCTCAGATCACCTGAGTTTGCTTCACATCGATTTGCGTGTTGACAGAGCGAGTGCTGTCCGATGTGTCCCAACCGCGCTTGTAAAAACACCTTTTTCAGGGCGCTTACCACTGAGATGGCCCCGGCTAGAAAGCTGTTTGCGTCGGAACAGCACTGCTGAAATGGCCATACTGAGCCGTTTGAAAGCCGCAAGCGTCAAATTCGTGCAAACTTCGTGGTACCAGTCTTTGCACTCATTGCACTTCATGCCGCCTTCAACGGGATATAGACAGCCAGGACTTTGGTATTTTTTTCCACTGTCCAGTCGCCGAACAGAGGCGTTTTAAAAAAATAGATACAATAGTACTTAGAGACAAAAATGATGGAAAAGTGTAAATCGTTAGAACCAAATGTACTGACAAATACAATAGAAAACAAAGTACTCAAAAGTACCGACGATAAATTACTTTAGAAACAAATGGTACACTTTAATCGAATACTTTAACTAAAATAAATTCAATTAAAGTGTAAACAGTAGTCTTAATACGTAATAAACGATCAAAACAATAGAATTTACTCAGCGAGGAAAAGTACCACTCTCCTTTTTAAATAGCGCATATAGCGACTGAGATATAACTAATAAAGTGACTAGAATTCGTGCAACATACTACTCATTGAAAAATGGGCGAGCACAAAAATCATCCAGTTTATACAAACGTGACAAAGATATTGGATATAGGGAACTCGAAATTGCCCAACTGTACTACGTAAGAGGTATTACAAATATAAACGGTACTTCTCTCTACTGTTGCCTGTGCAGTAATTTCTTTGGTAGACTTTTGCGTAAATTATTTTACTTTGAATTCAGTTTCATTGCTTCGTGTTAATGTATCCTTGATTTTGGTCTACATTGCGCACAATGTTTATGTGATAATTTTGCTGGGTGATATATAAAAACATCCCAAGCAACCAATAAAAAAAGGAAATAAAGGCTAACGATGAAGAAATACGTTGGAAACTAATGGGAAAACGCGCTAGAATGTCTTTTTCGCCTTATAGGTGGGGATAATGAAGATTCTCCCTTTTTGTCAGTCCCCATTCAACCGATAAAGGGGAAAATGCGTTGGAAAATAAAGGGGAAATAAAAAGACACGGACCAAAATGTCTGCTTTTTTGCCTGTCCGGGGGAAATGATGCAGATTTCCCCCTTTCTGTCGCCCTGTCTCTCAAATGTCGCTGAATTGTCTATTTTCGCCTAAATATATATTTAGGCGTATATCCGCTTAATTGTCTACTTTTCGCTTAAATACACGCCAACTTATCTACGTTTGGATTAAGTTCTTAATATACGTTTTATTGTTCACCTGTTACGCGACCCCGAATGTCTCCTATGCTCGCCTTCACTTTCATGACAAACCACACGACAACTTCAATAGACAAGGTTAAAAATGGTACATGTTTAAAGAGATATTATAACATATAGCCTTGTGCCCAATGACATGAACCTGTACGAACAGTCTAGAGTTTTTATCGGTCTTTCTTCCTGCCTAGCTCTGCCTGGTGAGTTCATAACATAAATCTCAGCCTCCGCGATATGAATCATATATTTCAATAAATACTGGGTTTGTATACAAACTAAAGACTACATCACACTATATAATAGGAAATAAAATTTGTACAGGATATAGCCAAAAGTGACTGTGATTGTAGAATACTGTTATTAATAAACTGGGTATAACTTAATAATGTTAAATCGTATAATAATGGTCCACAGGTCAAAATAAAGCTTATAATAAGAGAAATGTAAATATACATAGGTTAGTCACTTGACAACTATACAGTAAAAGTATATGTATAGTATTATTCCACAAATAGATTCCAACAGTTACCATTCATTATTCTGGTCGGGACATAACAAGAGACTTATTGACAAGAAAAAACGTCATATTGTACAACACTATGAGTAGTAGAGAGATGCTCGAGCAACGATCGTTATGTATTTTCACTGTTAACGCCACGTCCTATCGTAATTTATGGATATCTGCAGAAGAAAAAACAGGTTATGGGTTATTAATTAACAACGTGTCTATACAAATGGGCATATGAAATCAAACGGGCCTTCAAAATATCCACTCAGAGTTTTACATTAAAGTTATAAAATTAGATCATGGCACAAAAATTTCAATTGAAAACGAAGTTAAACATAAAAAACATTTCACTGTCTTTTATAAATGGCTGTTTGACTATTGCGAAGCAAAGTCATCTTCTTGTGAATTCTTAAATTTAATGAACATGAAAGACTACAACGCTCTCTAACTGCCATAGCTTTTTCAGCGACTATTTACGTAAACCTTCACTTACGGTTATATTCGTTAATACTGAACATTTCACCTATTGAACAGCAGTGAGTAGTTATAAGTCTATATTAGTACATACGTATTCTTGTTTTCTTCGATTGCGTTTTTGTGTTTCGTCTCTAATATCGTGAAAGTATCCTTGCGTAGCGATGGAGTTAACTACAAGTTTCTTGTGTTATACAACCAACTTTGGGGAAAATGTATATATTTTTCCCAAAAGTTGGTTTTACAGGTTTTTGTGACATTGGATAGTGATTTTCAATTCGATTTCTCCTATCTACAGAACTAACAAATCATCCATCCACCCCTCAATAGTAGTAAAAAATCCGAGTGTTATGGTCCAAAACTTCTCGATGGAACTTCAAAGTTCTTTCTTCAGTTACCTTACGCTCGGTCATTTCAGTTACTGAGTGATGATAATCTACATGAATTCACCTAAATGTATAAGTCGATTTATACATTAATCAATAAATATATGTGCATGGTTCGGAACGTGTGTTTCTATAATCGTTACACAAGTGTCATTTTTTTCTGAGATTCTGATTTAAAGTTCGATCCGTTTTGGAACAAAGCATTTATTGGTGTTCCAGGTTTTCAAAAAGATATTTCATACAGTATTTACAAAGTTTGGGTTACATAAATGTTTTAAGTAAAGAAGATCGGGGCTTTGATGTATATTAACTTTCTTGATTTCTGTATTGTTTGATTGCACATGGTTATTTAAGTATATGCATAAGTAGTTTTCTTAATTTAGTTTGGTAAAGAACGTCACTTTTAGAGGACGCTATTGCTAACAACTAAGCAGTAGTTCATTTTAGCATACGTTTGGTTCTGGTGTTATGTGTTTAACCTCATGGGTACATGTATTTTCATGGTTAAAGTTAATTAATGGTTGAATCTCCTTTTTCGTACCATAAATATGTGAGATTTTAAGCACAGGATGTAGCTAGCTGTCATAGAAAGTATGAAATGAACTAATTGAATGTTTGTTGCTTGTAAAAAACCAGTCTGCAAACAGGCATGATGACATGCTACCTCATACAATAGATAGGAAAGATGATATCCAAGAAAAATTTAATATTCATTTATTTGTTAGTTTCTTTAAGGTGTATCTATTTGAATTTTCAACTGTGGTTAACAATCGTATGTGGTAAATCTCATGTTGTTTATGTCTATCTATTTGGATTATGAAGAAGCCTCCCTTAATGCCTTATCTATAATCTAAAGTTGAAATTAGTTGTCAGAGAAATGTAATCAATAAACAAGGTAAGTAAATTCAAACGGGTTGTCTCTGACAGGACTCAAAACATTACTTCTGGAAGTAGAATACCTGCATTAGTTTTCTTAAATTATTGATATGTTTTTGAGATATTTCACGTGAAGTGTAACCGCTGATCATCTCGTGCTTATATAAATTACGAGATATGATGAATCGATCCATGAGATCATGAACGTTTACTGATTAAAGTGTTTAAGAATTCACTTATCAAATATACGCATATTTACTCTGTTCTTAGATGATTTTTATGTGAGAGGTAGTAAGAATGCCTAGCTGCTCAAACCAAGTAGGTGTTGTAAGTTTGGAACCTGCTATTTAGTGGTTGGACTATGGGTGCCTTAACTATCCAGTCATTATCCGTTCAGGGATTTTTCACGCATATTTGGTCATCGCGTACCTCAACACATTGGACTGGACATCATAGTAACAAATAGGGAGAGGACTGATAACAGCCAGACTGAGACATCTTCAATCCTTGAAGAAGTTGACTGTTAGTCTGTATGGTGAAACGGCCCAACACAGGCCCTAATGTCATGGCTATGTTCTTTCTTTACTCTTACACAAACCTCGAGGTTTATTGTTTTCGTTGTTGATTTAATTCGTTTATTTTAAACCCTATCTCCAGTCTTACATTTTGACTCCTAATGACACTGTCATTTCGACTCACATGCTTTATTTCACCTCCATAATGTCCTTTTGATGCATTGTTGTCAGGTCTACTTACTTTTGTGAGCAGTTGAGACAGGTCTCACATTTACTGGTTGGCGATAAAAAATAATCAGTGACACCAAACATCTGTAGTTGTATCTCGTATATTAGTCTGATATTGGAGTGTATAATGATACTGTAGGTTGGTTTATTAAAGGCTGAATCTTGGAAACCTCATAGAGAGCTATTATCTAGTATAGCTATATCTATATGTTTGTTAGTGGTTCTTTATTTCACTATGTTCATAAATTTTCGCCATAAGTAGGTCTCACCCCTCGACTTTTAGGAGTTTAAATTCTTATTCAAAAATCATTCAGTTGAATTATATTACACCTTTTACTTAAGGATGCTCAGTAGTTACCCTAAATTAATAATATTTTACGAAGTATTGAGCCAAATGGTACAATCGCTCGTTAATTTTTCCCCTCAAAAGACAGAATCTTGGCTGGTCGCATGTAGGAAGTATTCGATCATACTAATAATTCATTCGTAGATTGCATAAAACCTAATAGAAGCTTCAGGATGGATTCCAGATTCCAATCTAGTTTTCGTTGACTGAGAACATGTCTATCGAGTCTATATAAACTCGGTTAAATTGTGAAGTACTTGATGTTATGGGCATACACTGAATAGCATGTGTAAGGTTCGTCACACTACGACCTACGTTAGCTAGTTCAAAGAGATAAAAAGAGCCTCATGGTGGTTTAGTCAGCACATGAGTCTGTGAACAACACTATAAGTTATGTCTAGGTTTCGAGTAGCATCCTGTTGAATTTTTCGGTTCACAACTACTCTTAAAATCATCGTAAGAATATTTAGTATCCGTTTAATTTTTGCCAACACTTCAATGCAATTTAGGTTATGTCAACTTTAACCACTAAAGTGTTGCGTTGGTTCTCGACCGATATTTGGTTGAAATAACTACACCTTCACTTCCTATGTATTAATTCTAAGCTGCAATGGAGTTTTATAATACGACTGTTTTAGGGGTTAAACGTACTAGATTTATTGTGAATTTTTAGTTATAAATCCCTGGCTACTTTTTCAATCGATTAAATTCTGTGTTTCAGGAATCATCAAGTTTTCCGTCGAATATGATTATACCCATCCATGGACCAAAGTAAATCATATAAATCTTTTTATAGTATTATTTTCTAGTGGAGAAGTGAATGAGTGGCTAATGATTGAGTTACAAGGTGATGTTTTGAGTAAAACAAATAGTCCATTGGCAGGAAAAAATTTAGGCGATCTGCATTTTTCACAAGAGGTTAGTTAAGTATTTCTTTCCAGCCTATTTAATATTCATTTTATAGAATGGCGATCCAGTTCTTCTTATTGGTCATCATGTACTTTTCGGGAAAGTAGTTGCTCTTGAAAAGCCTATGCTTGTCACAAAAAGAAACACCACATCTGGAAGCTTGCAGTATGATATCGTTTCTGTTATTCGGCGTAAATTATTGTTTAAAACACGACCTAAACCGATCATCTCATGTGCTTCCAAAAATGTTTGAAAGAGCTGATAGTATTTTACAGATTGACATACATTATGTAAATATATCCTTCAAATTACGTATTTCTTTGTCATATACATGTGTTGTAGTTAACCGGGGTGTTGTTGGACAAGAGAGTTTCTCATGTACTAATTAATCCAATTATACTATATAGGGATAGTATTCAGAATAATGATTATCTGCTGCAACTGCTCTTACTTACTTACTTACGCCTGTTACTCCCAATGGAGCATAGACTGCCGACCAGCATTCTCCAACCCACTCTGTCCTGGGCCTTCTTTTCTAGTTCCATCCAATTCTTGTTCATTTTTCTCATATCTATCTCCATTTCTCGGCGTAAGGTATTCTTTGGTCTTCCTCTCCTCCTTCGGCTTTGAGGATTCCATGTGATGGCTTGTCTTGTGACGCACGCGATTGGGTGCTTTCCTCAATGTGTGTCCTATCCACTTCCAGCGCTTCTTCCTGATTTCTTCATCCACTGGGATCTGATTTGTTCCCTCCCACAGTAGGTTGTTGCTAATAGTGTCCGGCCAGCGGATCTGAAGTATTTTGCGTAGACAACTGTTAATAAACATTTGTATCTTTTGGATGATGGATTTCGTAGTGTTCCAGGTTTCCGCTCCACACAGTAGAATTGTCTTGACATTTGTATTGAAAATTCTGACTTTGGTGTTGGTTGCCAATTGTTTTGAGTTCCAGATATTCTTCAGTTGTAAATATGCTGCTCTTGCTTTGCCAATCCGTGCCTTCACATCTGCATCGGATCCACCGTGTTCATCGATGATACTGCCCAAATATGTAAAGGTTTTTACATCTTCCAACGCTTCTCCGTCAATTGTGATTGGATTCTTACATGCTGTGTTGTATCGAAGAATCTTGCTTTTCTCTTTGTGTATATTGAGACCTATTGCTGCTGAGGCTGCAGCTACACTGGTTGTCTTCTCCTGCATTTGTTGTTGCGTATGCGATAGAAGAGCCAGATCATCTGCGAAGTCTAGATCATCCAATTGCATCCTAGCTGTCCACTGTATCCCGTGCTTCCCTTCAGATGTTGACGTCTTCATGATGCAGTCGATCACCAGGAGAAAGAGAAAGGGTGAGAGTAAGCAACCTTGCCTGACACCGGTCTTTACATCGAACGACTTTTTCAACTGTCCTCCATGAACGATCTTGCAGTTTAATCTATCGTAAGAATTCCGTATGATATTGACTATCTTGTGAGGCACGCCGTAGTGTCGAAGAAGCTTCCATAGGGTTGTTCTGTCCACGCTGTCAAATGCTTTTTCGTAGTCAATGAAGTTGATATAGAGTGATGAATTCCATTCAATTGATTGTTCCACAATGATCCGTAGAGTTGCGATTTGGTCTGTGCACGATCTATCCTTACGGAATCGTGCCTGTTGGTCGCGAAGTTGTGAGTCTACGGAGTCCTTCATCCTGTTTAACAATACCCTGTTGAAGACGTTTCCTGGTATTGAGAGAAGAGTGATTCCCCTGTAGTTGTCACAGTTGCTGAGATCGCCTTTCTTTGGTATTTTGATTAGAAGTCCTTCTTTTCAGTCTTTTGGTACCTGTTCCTCATCCCAGATCTTTCTGAAGAGAGTTTGGAGTATCCTTGCAGTTGCCGCTACGTCCGCTTTCAGTGCCCCTGCTGGAATGCTGTCTAGTCCTGATGCTTTGCCAATCTTGATTTTTCTGATAGCCATGCTGATTTCTTCAATTGTTGGTGGGCCAACATCGATTGGGAGGTCCGTGAGTGCTGCTTCGATGTTGGGTGGGTTCAGTGGGGCTGGTCGCGATTCAAGAGTTCTTTGAAGTGTTCTACCCACCTGTTTCGTTGTTCTTCAATGTTGGTGATTATCTTGCCTTCCTTGTTTTTCATTGGTCGTTCTGGTTTACGGTGATTTCCAGAGAGTTTCTTTGTTGTGTCATACAGTTGTCTCATGTTTCCTTTTCTGGCAGTCTTTTCCGCCGTCATTGCTAAATCTTCCACATATTTACGTTTATCAGTTCTGATGCTCTTCTTCACTTGCTTGTTTCCTTCTGTGTATTCAGCTTGTGCTTTGGCTATTTCTGCTCTTTTTCGACTGGTATTGATTGCTGCTTTCTTATTCCTCCTTTCTTGAATCTTATCCAGTGTATCGACCGTGATCCAATCCTTGTGATGGTGCTTCTTTTGGCCCAGAACCTCATGAGATGTTGAAGTGATTGCCTCTTTTATCTCTTTCCAGTTGCTCTCCATAGTAGTTTGTTCTCCATTGAGTAGATTATGAAAGGCCTGGAACTTATTGCTGAGGGTTATCTTGAATTTATTGAGTTTGTCATTATCCCGAAGAATAGCCGTATTAAACTTTTGTGATATTGTCCTCCCCGTTGCCCAGTGACTCTTGAGTTTCAATTTCATCTTGGTGACCAGCAAGTGATGATCTCTCTTTGTTCTCACGTCCTCCATCGTCCTCCTGAACGTTTTGTTGATGCAGATAGGGTCGATTTGGTTCTGTGTGGTGTGATCCGGTGAAGTCCATGTGGTTTTGTGTATGCGTTTATGTGGGAATATAGTCCCGCCTATGACCAGTTTATTGAAGGCACATAGATCTGCAAATCTCTCACCATTTTCGTTCCTTTCTCCGAGTCCGTGTCGTCCCATGATCTCTTCATATCCGGTGTTGTCAATTCCAACCTTGGCATTTAGGTCTCCCATCAGAATAGTCAAGTCCTTTGTTGGGCACTTCTCGACGATTGACTGCAGCCTATCGTAGAATTGATCTTTAGCGTCTTCATTGTAGTCGATGGTAGGCGCGTAGCATTGGATGACGTTCATTGTAATGCCCGCTTTCTTTGTTTTGAAGGAGGCTTTGATGATCCTTGGTCCATGAGATTCCCATCCTATAAGTGCATTTTGTGCTTGTTTGGACAGCATCAATGCAACTCCTTGTGTATGTGGGGCATTTTCTTGTTCATGTCCGAAGTATAACAGCAGCTCCCCTGAAGCTAGTCGTTGTTGTCCAACTTGCGTCCAATGTGTTTCACTGATCCCAAGCACCTCTAAATTGTATCTCCTCATTTCTGCAGCAATTTGGAAAACTCTCCCAGTCTCCCACATTGTGCGAGCATTCCATGTACCTAAATAAATGGTTGCTCTGGTTGTCAGAAGGGGCATCGGCCTCGTGACTTCCGAAGAAACTCGGCTTTCATCATGAGGCGTAATAATTCTTCTAAATGAAGACCTCCTGACTCCCAGGGTAGAGTTTAAATGGTTTGAACAATTTTTTCTGGTTAGCGTTTTTTTAGCGAGTTAGTTTTCTACGGGATGTGGTCGTTAACCCTATGCCCAACCCTCCTACTTTGTCCGGGCTAGGGCCGGCAGTAGCCTCCCGAAAGAGACTCTAGTATAGTTGAACCCTACGGATAACCTCTAGAGATCAATTATCTCCATGCTCCTTCATTATATATATTAAATATTTTGGTTTTGAATGGCGTAGAATACACCATTCAAACATAGAAACGATTCCATTTATCACTTAGTCAATAATGGAAATGGAATTCTACATGTCACGTAGTATCTTTGTATGTATAAACCCATATCAACAGATACCTATCCTTTGTGTAAGAGGCTTTTGAGAAGCATGGTTTGTTCTATTGAAGTATCTAAAATAGTTTCTTTTATAACTACCGAAAAGTCTGACAGAATTTTACCTATTTGATATTACACATAAACAATCGGATAATTCTGTTTGTTTTGGTACAAGGACAAGTCGTTAGGTTTATATTTCGAAATATCTGGCAAGCTTACGATGTTGGCATACTTCACCTGGAATCAGTATTGTCAATAAAGTCGTGAGATTCAATTTTTCTATGTGGCCAGTATATCATTTTCGAATACTAACTGCGAAGTCTAATATTTACCCATAAGAAATGAAATATAAAAATGTACGATTTCTATGGTGCATCCTCTTTATACTGTGCTTCATTGAATTTTGATTTATGCTCATACGATAAAATGATATTTTAGGATTTAAGTTGTGCTGGGTGTTTATGTATTCAGATTTATTCTCGAGACAGTCTAGGGGTTTTATACTGTCTTAGGATACATATTGTACGTTTATTAAGTAAAGCTTATTATAAAGTACAGGTAGTTGGTTTTCATAATGAATATAGGATTGATATATCACATCAAGTTTGGAGTAGATAAACGTTTTGAAAGTTCATGAGATTTCCTCTGGCTAAACTGCATGGTTTTAGTCTATTTTCAATGTATGAAAAACTTTGTTAATAATTAAATGATGTGTTTTTTTCCTTCTCATTCAAATTGAAAATAAGTTTCTAATTGCCATTTAGATTTTAACTTCATAATATTCCACATAGAACATATAGGTCAGTCGATCTATGGCCTAAAGAACAGTCTGACTTTAGCTTTTATATCGAACTTCAATGAATTATTTTACAAGACGGGGTTCTGACATTCTAGAAACATATCAAAAATCTCTCATAGAAGCAGTATTATTTTTATTGAGCTTCAATGTCAAGTCTGAACTATAGAAAAAGTGGAAGCATAGTACTTTTGTGTACGAGGGACGGCTTTTTTACATGTCTCTTTCAGGGACTTATGAGACTGGCGCTTCCAATCCTCTACCTAAGTCAATTTTAACATCAATATAAAGCTTCAATTGGCCAATTAAACCGCTTAAGAAGCGAGCCTTGAGGTCTTCTCGCTACTTCATATTTGTCTAGTTTATACTGGGGCAGTCCAGATCTCCATCCAATCATTCTACTTGTTGTCTGTGGGATTGGCTTCGGTGAAGGTTCCACTTTTATATAGGCTGAGATAGGTACTGCTTCAGGAACTTTCAAATATTGTGGGATTTCAACCGGTTTTCTGTTTGGATCGATTAGCTCGTGGATTTCATCTTTTAGGAGCTCTCGTGGGGTTAAAGTAAGGAAGCTCCAATTCTTAGACCATGCTTTAGATGCGTTCGCCTCCTTAATGCAGTTATCGCGCCTTCAAAACATTAGGCAACTGTCAAGACTTACCAGATCTTATCACTTGCTACATAATTGCAGAGTGGGACTTCTAAACCGATTTTGCCAATTTTTCCTTCCATCGGTTCAAATGTTTGGCATGTGGTTGTCAATAGTAACTTGTATGAATTTGAAAAAACAATGTTCCATTGACGACTAAAACATTGAATCGAACAATTGGAATGGCTGTTTGCACACAGCGCTCTATTTGATATTGCACGAGACAATGGTGAGTGCTGGGTGTTCTTCGACATTACCGAGATTTGTCATTTTCAGTAAAAACTTTTCCTACTCATTGTATTATTGGTCGAAGTGTTCTGTTAGTAACTTCGTACACTCTTCAGCATTAGGGGTAGTAGGTCGCTAAACGTGTGGTAATCCTTGCAGCCTGTTTTCCAATGAAGATCCAGCTTCTTCCCATGAATGCTCGTTGAGCCCACTTGTTTGGCTAAGACGTTTAAGTCATTGACTGCTCTATAGGGAAACAAAGCCCCGTTCTGAGTTTGTTAGATCTCCGTTTTTGAGTCCTTGCTGTGGTCTTGTAGATGGTTAGTTCTGGGGGAGCAAAACGTTGGAGATTGCAGTACACGGTTGTTTTCCAGTCACGACTTACTGTTACTACTACGTTTTCGTGTTCCTGTACGCACGAAAGATATATGCTTTCGAAAGTGTACTGGTTACTAGTGGATATCAAGATTAATAATGCCTGCACTGTAACACGCTGGCATTGTAGGTAGTTCATGTTAATGAAGTATAAAACTTGAGATATTATCAGAGCACTCGAAGGATCTGGAAGTCACTGTAACTCTCAAGACTTCATTAGGAACGAGTACTCTTCAAATCACATCTTCAGATTATCTATAGGTAGGTTTGCGTTCAAGTTGTTGAAAAGTTATTACATGGGTGAATCCCTGTTACTTATGTATATTTGCACACTGCAATTAATCTTTCAACTTTGGGAATAAATAACGAACTGAATAATCATAATTAGCTTGGTATTGAATTTTTTGGACGTCATTACTTATTTCCCAGGCAGTCACATCTACAAAAGGTTCGAAAATTTTGTAGTTTTGACTATTAATCGACATAAGGCATTAATATTCCTGTGATAAATGATATTTGTAGGCCCTAATAGTTGTGCATAAGTTCCTAGTAAGGCACTATAAATCCCTTGTTAAACCTGTTTATACCTGATAGACCACTATTTTGAACAGCCCGCAATCTATCTTATTGAAAAAGTTAATCAAGCAAAAACGTTTACTTTTCATCCTTTCAATTTCTTAAACAATAATAGAACTTCTCTGGCAGTAGTTGTATGCCAAATGGCATCAAAAATAACCCAATATCAAAAAACGAATCAGCTAGCTCAAGAGAAATGGGAGACAAATCAAAAGTATGAATAGCTCTTGCGACCAACTAGATGATAGAACTCAGGATAGAGTTGGAGATCTGTAGTTGGCAGTCTATTATCCCTGAGGGTCAATAAACGTAAGCCAATAAAAAGATGCCTTCGTGACAGGGTCTGACAGTTGTGATACTACGACAGCAATATTAGTATTGACAGAGAAGACCGCTAAATCAAGGTGACTAGATTTTGGCTATGTGAAAGTCTAAATTCTTATACAGTTATCAACAAAATTCCATTACTTTATTTAGTTTCCGCTAGTATAGGGAACCAGACAGATATGGTTTGTGTTGTAGCAGGAGTTATACGCAGAGTAATTTTTAGACTCAAGTAATTTTGTTGCAGCATCAGTTCTCGATTTAGACGAACTTCTTTAGAGGACTGGTTTTCCAATATGCTTTTTAACCGATGAACGTTCTCATTAACTACTCTCAAACTAAGTCGATTATATACTTAACCACAGTGTACTTCGGCGGTCTAATTTTCAGGGCTTAAATTCTAATCAGTTAGCTACAAGTTTGACCCATCGTAAGTCTTCGGTTTCAACGACTGGGAAATACCACTGGTCATCACAAACCTTGTATCTCATAGCCGTACACATTAATGTGTACTTTGTCAGTAGGTTAGATCACTTTATGACCATGTGCTATAGGTAACCACAAATAAAACGCAACGACCTCAAAAAGAATTACTATTAGTGTTGATCAACCAAAAGCAACAAAATTCTTGTAATTGTGTTTGCAAACAAGACTTTTTTTATTTTTTAAATTTGTTTTATATCTTGAACGCAGTAATCGTTGTACTTACATTACTCACATTATTATTTCACGAAGTAATGTGGATGAAGTGTTCCAATTCAACACTCATCACTGATTATCATCCTGTACTGTTACATATACACGCCCTCAACTCCAATTAAGTTGTTTTAATTCAGCTTCGACAAACATTTTAGTACTCCTTGTAGCAATTACAAGAGTTCTGGTAAGTAAGCTGGTTACTTACAGCAAATTTGATCATTCACTTTCATTTTCGGTATGATCCGACAATTGTGAATTTCAGATGTATTCAAGGTATATTATTGCGTCTGTATTCTATCTCCCCTCATTCGAGAAACACTTAAACTAAGTAGCTTATGTAGTCTTTCTGTGTTTTTATTAGTTCCGTTATATTTCATACTAAGCTAATGCGTGTTATTATCATTATTATTATTATGTGTTGTCTGTTTACCGTGAAAAGTTACATATCTTTATTGTTTATAAAAATTGCGATTTTTTACTTTCAGAGCAAAAATAAGAAGAAACAAAGCCAAACCATTCCTTTAGTTCCTACTTCACAAAGCAAAAGAGCAAGACGCAAAAAAGCCAAAAAGCTTAAAAAGAACATAGAAGGTACAAATTCAATTATATCCAGCATGCCTTCTATAAAAGCCAATGAGAGTAAAAAAAGTAAAAAGCGAAGATTTCTAAAAGAGCAACAACAAAAAGCTTCTGTTTTAACAAATTCCAATGTGAAAATAAACAAAAAACGAGCCGAGTTTGGTGAAGCATCCAGTGAGAGTGATTCTGAGCCCATCGAAGCTGATTGGGCGAGTGCAAATGACCATTCAGATAAAGATGATGAAAAATGGCAAGGTGAAGAAAATGTTACAAGATCATTCACTAATTCCAATGATGATGAACAAAGCGATTCGGAGCCTTCAGACAATGACCTTGAGGATTCTGAAGAAGATGAAGATGAAGAGTTAAGCGAAAATGAACTGAATACTCTGATACAATCTCAGAAGAAACCAATGACTAAGGATACTTCAAAACAAAAAATCAGTTGTCCGAAAAAGAAACCTCTAAAACGAACTCATGGTATGTTTTTTCCACATTTCGATTGTCGATTATTCAATCTTGAACTGAAATAAGATAAAAACCTATCCGTTATTAGTGGAACTCGAATAATTCGTTTTATTTGGAACACCTCAGTAGTGTTCACGTATTCTCTGGTCGATTCCAATATTCAGTGTTCAGGGTGTGCATGTTATTTTAAATAATTGAGTATTTTACAGATATCTACAATTTTCCTACGTCGCTTTGTCTCAGTTGACTTCATTGTTGCTGATCGTTTGTTAAGCTTCTGAAGTAAATTGATCCTGTAAACAGTTGCTCAGTACTATTTATTATACTTTGTCAAATCGTAGTTATAGAGCTCCACCCATTATACAATAAACAAGGTTTACTGTACAATATTAGGTTACTAAATACGGTTTTAAGGTAGATTCAATTTACATCAATTGAATTAGCACCCATAATAAAGCCAAATATCCGTTCAATATTCCCTTACTTTAAAGGGTTCTTCAAATATTGTGAGATAAGACCACCTATTCCAACTGATATTGTTTCTGGAGTAGGCTGGAACACGTTTGGGGTCGGCTGAACCAAAACGTAACATTAAATTTTTTAATTTCTTCAAGACTGTCAATCCGGGCCAAATTCGTAGATACTGGCCACCTGGTCGCGATCAGCGGTCGGAGATATTAGGTAACGTATGTATTACACCGAACCGTAGTTCTCGTTTCAAGCATTGACAAATTTGAAACATTTGTAGTACGTGTAACTAATTTGTATTGAATCCATAAAAAATTCATACCGCCTAAACTGCCTTCTATGTGGTTCCACTTTTTAGTCTTTTAAACTAACGCAATTTACTTTTTAGGCAGAGATGAATGATGGCTAATAGTGAAATCCTGGATGCGCCTTTCGTTCTATTTGGTACTCGCCAGCTAGATGTACCTGCATTAGAGTTGACACTCACTCTGGGACTCGATCCCAGTACCGCTTGCTTCTAACGGCATCTCACTGTCTACTTAGCTACGGAGTTCAGATAGCAAACGGGTTATTCAATAGGGTAAGTTTTAGTTCACGTCCGTTGGTTATTTAAATCTTTCAGTGGTTATCTGGACTCAGTAGCTAAGTGGGTAATGGGACGGCGTTTAAATCGAACGGTACTGTGTTGGAGTTCCAGAATGAACATCAACTGTGAGGTAGAGGTGCACTCACTCGACAAGTTCCAGATGAAACGAACCGCGCGTTCTGAAATCCAACGCCAGTCACCATTCATCTCCACTTAAGATGTTTGTGACTTACTGGCAATATCATGACAATCCGCACAGGATCCACATACACTAAAAGTGACTGATCAATTGTAGTCTTAAACATCAATTGGAAAGTCCTAACAACCAATATTTATAGTGAATATACTTTACATATTTCACCATTTTGTTCAATTAAACTTACTGTCGGCTTATTGTCTCTTTAGAATCTGTTGAAAACACTCCGACATCCGCAAAGAAAATGAAATTAGTTGGAGAGTCTAAGGTAATTTTCTTCTGCAAGTTTTCATTATTTGGATCATTAAAAGGAAATTATTATTTGCTAATTTTTATACATAGTAATCATTATATTGGTTTACGTCGGAAAATTAGGTTATAATTAGTTATACTGCCCAATCTGAGATAGAATAAATCGAGTCTCTGATCTGAAACATTGACTAGAAATCAAGTTTGTTTATAAACTGATTAAGTATATTCCTTCGCTAATTATTCTTATTATTTCTGTTACTTATGCTTCTTAATTTCTTGCTAAATATCTTATCTTGGTAACAGGTTTTCTCAGTCGCCTAATTCATGTAGACATATGTATGTCCCAACCGGATATGTAAGTCAAATGCTGTCACCAACATCGCTACAGCAGCATATCTGAAAAAGGTCTATTTAGACTGGTTTATTTGATCTTAGTGATCACTAAAAATTTCCATGTAATTCATCTCATTTGTGTACCACATGTTGTTTACTTCATGAATTATAAGAACCGTTAGACCGTGGTACCAAAATTATTACTTTCCCAATTTTCTTAAAAAGTCTGTTATAAACCATGTACCTGCGTTTGCTTGTGTTGTATAATTAAGATTCAGAAGTTCACAACGACATTTACAAAACTTTCAATAGTAAAGCACTGTATATAATTAAATCGCATTTTACCATTATTAAATATATTTATTCGGCTTTTATGAATTAATTGCATTTGCTTACTGGACCATGGTTCATCTGTACAGAAAGTCAATCACAGATTGAAAACAATTTGCATCTTTGATTACACAATAATCTATTTACAATTTAATATAATGATTATGAAATTTCATTAGGTTTGATTAACGTTTTAAAGTCTATTGTTTAGTGGGTTTGACATATACATTTTGATAGCCTGAAAAGTTTTTACATTTCTTCACGTTTTAATCTTGTGTCGTATTCAACATTCCAAATAATGCACGACGTGGAATCCTCTGTGAAGACATTCGTAGAACATGTCCAAAACACCGAAGTCGATGTTTCAAGTTAGTGACATCGATTGTGAATTATCGTCACTGTCCGAACACACGATACCGAACCTCTGCATTACTAACATGGTGTTGCCACTTGATGTCAGCAATCCTTCGGAAACAACGATGATCAAACAGTGAGCCGTTTAACATTTTCAACTTGGAGAGGCCAGGTTTCACAAGCATAGAGCAAAACTGCTCTCACCGACGCTCTGTAGATCCGACCTTTTACAGCCACCACCAGCACTTGTGCAGCTACTCAGATACGCGAACTTCTCGACTACTTCTATCAGTTCACTACCCAGGGTGAGTGCAGTATCAGGGTCCTGCCAATCTTGTAGAAGTACTTTGCACTTAGAAGGTGCAAAACACGTACCATACCTACGGACACTGATTGCCAACTGATTAAGTATGGATTGCATGGCTTGGGTATAATTTCACAGTAAGACAATATCATCCGCATACCCAAGGTCCATAAGTTATCCTCCAGGCAACAGATCCACACCACCATTACCTACATCCATCAGAGCTGTTCACAGGACGTTATCGATAGCAAAGTTTTGGAATAGTGAGATAGGGCATCCCTATCTAACCCCACTGCTTGGGTGGAACAGTGAAGAGAGGTGGTTGTATGCTCTCACTTTGCCTGAGGTATTAGTATGTAGGGCTCTCAAGATGTTGATAAACTTCTCAGGTACACCCTTTTTCAATAGACAGTCCCAGCAAGCAGTCCTGTCGAACGAATCAAAGGCGGCTTTAATGTCAAAAAACACCATAATTGTCCGCTTGTAATAAGTATGACAGTGTTCTAACAATTGGTGGAGGGCGAAGGTATAATCAATACATCCTCAACTAGAACGAAAACCAGCCTGCTCCTCGCGAGTCAATCTTGAGTTTTGAATAATCTACGAAGTATGACGGAAGCCAATATTTTAGACGCAATCGGAAGTAGACTTATCCCCCGATAATTTTTGTAGAAATGAAAAAATTCATATTTACGAATCTGAACTTGGAAATAATTTTCTGCTCCGCGCTAGTTTTTTTAATCTTAATCCTTACCCACCTACTAAATTTCCCATTTAGTCGGGTTGCTGTTTACTTTTATGTTTGTTTTTCATTCTCTTTATTTAGCAATCAATCGTAAAACCTCTTGATAAAGGCGATGATCAAGTGTCTGTGTCTTATAGTTGGACAAATGAATCTATTATAATTGACGAAATCAAAAAACGTGCAAGTAAGTTATGAACGTGTAAATTTGTATAGAATATACATTGCATAATATTATAAGACAATTAAGAAAACATATGATCGTATGCATAATAACATATGTACTTTTGCAAATGTAGATTTATCAATTCACATTTCTCGAACCATTTCAATTCTCAGTTATGATATTAAAGATATGAGTTGTAGCCTTAATATATTAATTAACAGTGATCAAGTTAACTTATATCTAAAAAGCTAAATATGAAATATCTTATGATATCCGCGATTTCATTTACCTTATCCTTTATGGAACTCCGTTCAATTATGCATATACATTAATCTGTCTATGTCAAGATTTATTGATAGTAATAATTAGTTACTTAGTACTTTCGTCGAATTTTTCATAACTCAAGATGATGCCTCCAAATGCTCTGGTACTGCCAAGAATGGAGAGAGTTAGTTATTCCTCTCGAAGTGCTCTCACATGGTCACGACTATATAGCCTCTGCCACGGAAGTCCTACTCACTGCCTTCTCGCGGCATTACTGTTGTTTAAGAAATTAAGGACGGAAAGCGAATGTCCGACTATTTAAGCGGGTTGGTGGATATGAGGGATCCATGTAGGGGAGTTGGAAAACCCTGATTCCAAAGCACTGATCCACATGGTCTCCTGTATCCTGATGGAACAAATGACTTATGAACTTATTGTTGGTCAGCGGCTACCATGGGACTGCATTTCCTTACGATGCTCCACTGTCTTGTGGATTTGACCTTTGTGTGAAAGACTCGGAGTGGCCCCTTAAAAGAACCATCCTCGGTTTGGACATACGGATAGTATTCCAGCCCTCACACAAATCGAATGATTTACGTAGCTTATGTCTATTTAGCGAATCCTTGTACCATTGTTTGTGTTTCAATAAATAAATACATACCTCAAATCTATATGATCTTTACAAACTATCAGGTTATTTTTGTTAGTGATTTGCTACAAACACAGAGCTATCTAATTTATATTTTGCTGTGATAAAGACACATTATTATTATTATTATTATTATATTATTTATTTTAAGACATAGATATTGGTACGGGGAGGCACCAAAAACATATGCGCCACACGAATCTCAATCGATTTGTGTGAGGGTTGTGATACTGCCCGGGTGCCCAAACCGAAGCAGGTGGTTTTCTTAGGGGGCCACACCCCGAGCCTTCGACCTGGACGTCTGACCCACAAGGCAGTGGAGCATCGTAAGGAGATGCAGTTCCATGGTAGCCAGTGACCAACGATTGGTTCATACATCATTTGTTCCTTCAGGATACTGGAGCTAGCTCATGTGCACCATTGGTTTGGGACATTCGCTTTTCGTCCTCTCATTTTCGTAAACAACAGTCATACCACGAGAAGGCAATGAGTAGAACTTCCCTGGCAGAGGCTATATACACGTGGCCATGTGAGAGCATTTCGAGAGGGTGAGCGGACTCTCCCCACACTCAGCCGTACCAGGGCATTTGGGTGCGATAAAGACACTCTGAAGTCTGAATGTAAATAAATGTATTTTTGCGTGATTGGTGGAATTGTGTGTTCTGTGTATGCTCATGTTCACTTGTCTACATTTAATTTGGTTATTTCGTTTTACTAGTTGAACTTTCATCTAATACGTTGTATGTGAGTCCATTGCCACCGGATTATAACGAGTCTATGCTAAAATCGTTGTCACCGAGTATGATGTCATATCGATTATCAATGAAAAGAAGTAAAAAGATGCGAAGGTAAGTCTTTATTTACGTGTGAATGTATTTCAGCGTAATTCTCTTTTTTTAGTAACTACTTTCACAATAAAGCAATCTTTAGGTACAATGTTTGTTAGTAGTATAAAATTATATGACAGTAATCTGGCTGATTTTATGGCTGTAAAATTTGACCTTGATAGTAGATTACACCGTAATTCAATCACCTTTTCAAGGCATTCGTCTCATTTGGTAGAAACATGTAATGAGTATTGTTATGTTTAGTTATAAGGTGCGAGATGCCAATAATTACTCGGTTAGTGAAGTTATGAAGCTTTTTCAACTAATACAGATGATGTTACCCACATCAAACCACTATCTGATAAACTTCGTCTTCTCATTGCATTATCAAAATTATCAAAATTTATCAAAGGGACTAACTGTTTTAAACTAATACCAAATTCAAATGTTGTTCATCCTTCAGAAAAGGTTTATTTTCAAGATTAGTGGGTATCGTGTTTGTTTATGACTCGACACAAATTTATCAACAAAAAGGTTTAAAAGCGTATTGATAGATTTTCAATCTGTTCAATTAAACAGTATCAGTTTATAGTACATCTATTGTAAAGCGAAATATTGTTGCTAAAATGCCTTATGAATCATAGTTTTCTGTCATAAGTATTAGTTCTCCGCTAGCTATCTCCAATACTGCTATAAAGTTTCAACTTATCATTTTAGCGAATAGTTTCACAATATTTGGGCGCCGAGTTAATGTGAGACATTAAAGAGGAAAATATTTTCCTTGAAAAAGCTTGGACCAGTTTGCCAGGCGAAACGTTGGATTTACTTCGAATTCCTTCGCTGAGATTTTATAAATACATCCTTCCTCTTTTTCACTTTAGGTTCACGAAAAATTCAAAACACACTAATCATGTTGAAGAACTAATTAAAACCTGTCAATATTTCTATATTAAGACGCTTAAAACTACTAAACATAGAAAGGACTAATTTATGATCTTTCAAAAATAATTCAAAGGTTCTTAATACTTGGAATCGTAGAACTACATTCATATGTATTCATCTATTTGGCTATAAAACACTCTTTACCTTACTCTAAAATTTCAACACATTCTTACCTTTTCCAGGAATGTTTTGTCATGAATTAATAATCTATACAACCTACATTCTTATTGACGTGGTTATTTCAAGAGTTGTTGGTTAAACACTGAGTAGTGACCAATGTTCTTTGTCAATCTCCTAAGCATTGGTCGTATTATATCGATTGAGTCTAAATATAATCATTAGTCTAAGTGACTATACATTGTGTCTACCGTGTTAATATATCAATTGTTTGGAGTTAACCAACTAGTTTCGAATCACAGGTAATATCAATTTCGTCAAAATTACAAGTATGCTAGAGCACCAGGCTCAGGTCCTGTGTATCCTGTCGATTTATTTCGGTCAGCTAACATTTGTATTTGCCCACCGTAAATAAATATTGGTGATCATCAAAAAACTTACAATTTCATATGCTATTAACCAGTTTTTGATTTGCTTATTAAATATATCCATCTATCTAGCTTTGCGTTTCTTCAATACGTCGATGCGGATACAGCTGAAGCTGCAAGAAAAGCTATATCTGGTCGTCTGTTTGCCGGTAAAACAATTTCTGCTCAACCTAATCGTCTATCATTTCCTATCAGTGACTTAAAGTCTGATAATATTGATCGAACGCGGCTTTTTGTGACTGGTTTCAATAGTTCAACAACTAAAAATGATTTAATACATATATTCCCAAAAGGCACTGTCGATTTTCCATTGACCAAAGATGGAATTACATGCGGGTACGTTTTATGATAATACAATCATATTGATGATCATTCTATGATTTTATTTTTGCACTAATGATCCCTAAGTGGATAAATTCTTTATCATGTCTTGAAAACGGCGTGACTATAATTTGTAGACGAACCAATCAGATTGAGGATAATTGGTTTTAGATTTTAGCACCAAATCCATTCATCCATTTGGCTTAATAGCGTTTCGGCATTTTAGCTTATATCAGTTCGTGATGAAAACCATAAATGTAATTCCTAAGTTTAATCAATAACAGTAAATCATAGTTTTAAATCCACAAACTGATTTATAACTCTCACCTAACTCTAGTTTGTAAGTGGACATTCCCAAGATCACTTAAGCATCGCTCACAGGTCGTCCAAAGATTAGTCTCATCGTTCTAGTATACGATTAATTATTTATCTGGGAGAAAAACACTAGATTCATCAATTGACTAACTGTTATAACGGATGAAAGTGTATAAATCGCATAGGTGATGTCATATGGTATTCTCTGTGTTAACCCCCCCTCATTTGACCATTTGGACGAGCAAGTGTATTAGACTATTGAACAAAATTCAAAAATACTCATTCATATATATACCACTATATGCTTAAGAAATTGACCCATTGACCCTAATGAAATGCACTTAACATTTAGGTCACTTCTAATTGCCATCGATTGACCTTTTGCTACTTTTGATACTACAGTTAAATAATACAAAATACATCATAAAACTAATAACTCGAATCATGTATATATTGTACATTATTTAATAATTGTTGCAAACATTTAGCTTATTGGCTAAATGTTGGGGATGTTACATCCCCAGTAGGTCACTTGGTAAATACCTTGTTTTTGTAATTTTGTTTTAAAAATTTGAATTCCATGCGTTCGCTCCAAAAGCGCTCATTTTCATCTTCATATCGTATTTCCCACTTGGGAGGGTCTTAAACGCTATTAGTTCGCTATATCTTTCATTATGTTATTTTGTAACGCTTCCTAAGGATAATTTTATGCTGTATATATACGATTAATTTTTGCCTGTTGTTATTGCACGTGTTTCTGGCTGCTTGCGGAATATATTTCCCTATTTCGAACGTGGACTTCTTTCTCTAGTTAGCGGGGCTGAGACGCGTTCCGTTCTCAAATTAAGTGAACTCGTAATCGCTTCAAACATAGCACTAAAGCACTGATCATTCAAATAATTATGATTCATTTGTTCCAAACACCCTTGTCATTGTAATTTCTGTTTTACTTAATTTCTGGCCCAATGTCTGACTCTAACTAATTTTGTGGTGATTGTTATCGAAATATACATACCAATCCTCGTATACAATTATCAGCTTCAATCACGTTAGTTAATAACGGAATAAAAAAAGTCAAAAAAGAGAATGAAGATTAAATACATATATTTCATACACTCATTGATCTTAACTGGGAATCAGGGAAACGAGGAAAAGGAAGCGAAACGGTTAGTGGAAAAGGCAAGTAAGCCAATTCGATTTAACCAAGCGTGACGCGATATTTACAGTTAGACCAAAAATAAATTACAGACACGTAATGAATAGGGTAAGCAATTAACTCACGTACGATCGTATAAAAGCAGTCAGGCTTTATAAGCGAATAAGTGACAAGGTCAAAGTGTAGTTTAAGTAGAATAAATAAATTAGTCCTCCCAGAAGCGAGAATAACCTATGTGGGCTTGACATAAATACTAGCCACTATACTTATTTCTTCATTATATGTTGATCAATAATCTCACTTTGTTACATCCTTCATGTTGTGAACTAATTGTTCTCAACGTGAATGCAATAAATCTTAATGATAGTAATTGTCATCATCATGATTGACGCAGAGTATTATTAATATTATTTGAACACATAAATACTGGTACAAGGGGGCACCAGACACATATGCGCCACACAAATCTCATTTGATTTGTGTGACGGCTAGGATACTGCCCGGGTGCCCAAACGGAAGCAGGTGGTATTCTTAGGGGGCCACACCCCGAGCCTTCGACCTAAATGTCTGATCCACAAGGCAGTGGAGCATCGTAGCAGTCACATGGTAGCCGGTGACCAATAGTTGGTTCATACATCATTTGTTCCTTCAGGATACTGGAGACCATGTGGATCAATGCTTTGAAATCAGGGTTTTCCAACTTCCGTAGGTGGACTCTCCGTATCCACCAACCTGGTTAAAGTGCTGGACATTCGCTTTTCGTCCTCTGAATTTCTTAAATAACAGTAATGCTGCGTGAAGGCAGTGAGTAGGACTTCCCTGGCAGAGGCTATATACTCGTGGCCATGTGAGAGCATTTCGAGAAGGAGAGCGAACTCTCCCTACTCTCAGCCGTACCAGGGCATTTGGGGGCATTGTCGCAGAGTTCATTTATTCAATAGAGTTTACCTAGTATTATCCGAATAATTTGTTTATATATACCTAAAGTTTGTTCTAATGATGTCGTTCAGAAGAACGATGAAAATTCCACTACTAAACCATCCATCTCTTCATTGAATTCCTTTTTTGAGGGGGATTCTATGAAATTAATATTTATATTGTATTTACTAACCAATTATTTGTTTTTTTTATTTTTTTTAAAGTTATGCAGTTGTCAAATTTGTCAATCAAAATGTATCACTTGAAGCGTTTTCCACAACACATAAACGACTTGTTCGTGGTCTACCAATATTTGTCAACTTCATGTTTTCTCAGAAACAAAATAATGAAAATCAATTAAAAGTTAACAATTCTAAAAGTAATCAATCATTAGAAAAAATGAAAGAAAAACAGTTGAATAAACCATCATCATCGGAAAAAACGTCGAACATAGTAATTCACAAAACAATTAATACAAAAGATACTGGTAATAAAGAGGGTAGTAATACAAAAGTTTTAGTTCAACAATTACCCGAGTCTGAAAATGATTCTAAATCATCAGCTAGTGATGAATCAAATGATGAAAGCAAATCAGATGAATTACTTGTTAATCAAACAAAAAATAAAAATTCAACCACTGGTAAAACATCTGTACTGAATGAACTTGTTTCATCGAAAATGTTAAATGTGTCCCCCAAAAATAAAGCCAAATCTGAATTGAGTAAAATGGCCAATGATGATAGTGATGATCATGATAACGATGATGATGATGATGATGATAACGATGACGACGATGAGGACAACGAAGATGAAGACGATGAAGATGAAATTAGCGAATATGATGAAGATGAGGAAGAGGACGATGATGAAGATGACGACAATGATGATGACGACGACGAAGATGAAGATGACGAGGATGAGGAAGATCTTGGTGATACAGATAGTGGTGATGCATCTGAAGATAGCGATGAGGTGGTCAGTGAGCATGCAATTAAAAAAGATTCTCAGCAGAAAAAAGTAGTTAATAATAATAAACCTTCAGCTTTAAAAAATAATAGCCCAATCACTTCCGTTGACAAGGAGCAAGCCTCATCAGCTGATAGTGATGATAGTTCCAATGAGGAAATTGACAAACAATTGATGGCAGTTATTCAGGCTAAACGTAATGCTAAAAAATCATTCAAGTCACTTAAGAATGCTCAGAAAGGCAAAAATGAAGCCTTGAACTCAGCAAAGCACTCTGGAAAGAAATTTAAACCTCAATTGGTAGATTAAATGTTTCCATTTCTTTTTTTAATTTCTAGTGAATTATTATGATTTATTATTTATTGATAGCAAATCAACCTCATTGACACTGATTTAACAATTTAGAAAAGGTGTACAATTATGCTATTTTAAGCTACAACTATCTCACAGGTCTTGGAACCTAAAAGTCTGTCTAACTAACAATCTGACTCGTTTCGACAATCAATTTCCTTGTGAACTGATATTACGTTTAAGTGTCGAATAATATTGAATACAAAACGACGTAAATCAGTATTAGTAAAGAGACCAATCGCATCAAATAGATGATTTAACAATGTCATGTTCTACTTTGGAAGTAGATCTCTTCACTGAATTGTCTGTTTTCAATATCCATAGACAATATAACTAGCAAATAGAATAGGTTTTCTCTATCGTTAAATGACATAAGATTTGGAAGATAAAAGTTCTCAAAACAATCAATAATGAACATACTACGATTTGATTTGTTAGAAAGGATTTAAATAATCACATTGTTGCTATTTTTGATTGAATCATAATCAGTCTTTGTTAGTGTTAGTGTATGTTGCCATTTTACGTGAATTACTTCGATGTAGCCATTTTTTCCAAGTGTTTATCGAATGAGATGAATTTGTAGCTAGCAGTGAAATCCAATACCTGTATGTCATCCTACTTGGGACTCATCAGATGGATGTATCTTAGATGTATATACATCTAGCCAAAATCCATCTACTCTAAAAAATTATATTTTTTCTACATTTTCACGTTGTATTAGATAATTGAAAGCAGTGATCACGAACCAGTAAATTTAAAACGTTACTTAATGTTTCGATTCCATTATCAGTAGTATGTAATACCAATCAGAAGTGGCTGCAGAATCTAGAGAAGATAGAATCAAAGAGAATGGGAATGTGAACAAATAGTAATTGTCATAACAGTAGTGGGACGATGAAGTCTAAAACAATTGATGAGGGATTTTCAAATAAAGTAGTTATTGTATGGTTATTCACATTTTACGAAACAACTCTGCAATTTTGCATTGAATAATAAATTGATTGTACCTACCTGAAAAATAAATGACAACCACACATCAGCAAGTGAAGTTCATCAACTGACTGATCTATTTCAAGTTAGAAGTTATACTTATTCACTTGAATAAGTTCCTAATTCTTTATGTGTTCTCTCTTTCTCTACCTTTGTTTATTCTTTCGGTTTCAGCTTCGTGTACCTGAAACTATGAAAACTAAGAAGAAATAGATAAAAACTAATTATGAACAGTCAAATATACTGTATATATAGATTTATATCATGAATAAAAATTATTATGTTTGGTGTGTATTTGTGTTTTAACTCATTTTTATATATGAATGTTATGAGAATTAAATTCTATTGTATTAGTAATGAGGATGTTTGATAGTTTAGTCATGGGATCATAAATGAAAAAAATCATACAACGAATGCAGATAATGGAGAGTATGTGCTTATAGTTCAAGAAAAGGATTCTATAGAGATGTTATATTACTTATTGATGGAGGTTGATTATGAATACAGCGGTCTTGCGTGCTGTTAGAGGTATGAGGGCGGTTATCATTTCCCAGTTGCTCACACCGTGGAAGAGTTCTTCTGGAGGTACCTGAAAACGAAATTGGATTAGAGGTGGTCTTAATGACCTGAGAGCGTGACCGCAGTGTCCAAGGGACAGTTCTTATGAGCGTGATACGCTTCTCGTCGTTCGAAAATGGGAGAATTTCGCTAAGGGACAGCTGCTTGAGGTCGGCCACACATTTTGTGAGTAGTTTTCGTGTTAGATCCGTACTTGTTGAGACCTTACCGCTAGAGACGAATATCTGTGGGATAAGGCGAGATGTGCATATTTAGGGTCGACCTTTTCTAACTCCACCCCTCCTTATGGGAAGGCAGCATCGCTGTTCCGCTGATTGTCTGAAGAAAACATCTTACTGCCGCCACACCTCTGTACAGTTAGCAGTAAGACTTCGGACCTTCTGTTTGTTGCTTTTAGTCTTACCTCTCCTCGACCGACCTGTCTGGCATAGTGGGACCTTGAGGAACGGTAGTTCCAACCAGTATAGCTTGGTTGTTTCATCACGATAGACAAGCCCGACCACCACGGCAGGTTAGCAGCAACGGTCTGGCAGATGCAAACTACTTGGTTGGGGTCCGCGTAACTATCGTAACCACTGCTTGGAGACTGAGTGACGTGGTTCGGAATCGATCACAATGGCGTAGGTGTATACACCCTATGTCTTCCCTTAAACTAAGAGATGCAAATCGCTTCATATCTTTCTACAAACTAAATCTTTCTTCCTGTACTATATCCTTATATGCAATCTTTCGTTTATATATTACCACCATTGAATTAACTACTATGAATTTGGTGTTCATATTGTTGTACTAATGAGATATGGCGACTTGGACCGATGCATATATATGCCTGGTTCTACGTCGTAGCTGACTGACTGCTTTATTACTTCAGTTGGATACTCTCAGTATTGAAGCTGTCATTGACAAAGCACCAGATTTCAGATCAACTGAACGAGTGTTATTCAGTTGTTGGAAGTTCTAATAGAATAATTTTTCTTGAAAAAGTTTACTGATTTTATCTAGAAAGACTGAAAGTTTCACGAATTAAACAATCAAACTCGGGAACAAGAACTCTCATAAAACAAAATAAGTTTGCATGTTAAATATAACCGAATAAGCATAGTGATATGTTTATCTTTACAGGCTATGAAAAGTGCGAACCAACGTTTTGTATTACTGAGAGTGTTTGCAGGGATTTGATAAATTAGGTAAAAGACAATTGATAAAGGAATATGAAAATAGTCCGTAAAGGTTGCTCTCATATATAAAGAGACGAATTTGAAGCAGTGATGGAATCTCACCACATTTGGTATGAGAAATTTCGTTAATATTAGCAATACATGATTTCGCTAAAACCGTAGGTGATAAGAATATGATCGTGGCAATGACGCCTGTCGGTCAATCCTGTAGCTGTTGAGAAAGAAGCTGTCACCTCAAACCAAATAAATCCAGTGGTCTTGACTGTAAGATCCGTTTTAAATGTTTTGTGTGTGAAAATCCCTCCATGTATACACTTGCAGTTTGTTCCGATTGATTCCTTTAGTTGTACATTTTGTTAGTCTTTTTGATTCCATTTGAGTTGGTAACATTTGTACTTCATTATAGTTTTTATTTTTCTTATGCCTTCACTAAGTTTCCATGTTTCTTCCTGAACTGCATATATGTTGTTTTACTTGATACTTAGTCTTGGTGGCAGCCATATTTGTTTATACCTCCTTTTGATTGTGTTGCTTGTATTGACTGAAATTTTGCATTTTTGATTGTGAATTGAGACACTTAGAATTGGAAACACTTTGTGTTATAAAGCAACCAAATATTATCTTTCGAACGAATCTGTGCGTGGTTTATCCAGACAAGATAGAATAGCATTTACTGGTTGTAATTGGTAATTTTTCTCATCCTTTATCAACTTTATTTATTGTAATTTAGATTTGATTAATTGAGCAATTGTTGGTTGAATAACTGGGTGGTCATATTTGTTTAGGTAACAGTGTACATTTAAATTGATAATGAATTTCAGAACCGTCATTTTACCCAATCACTGTCTTGGTTTCAACTGGGCAAGGGTTAGTATCTAACTCACCTAGACAGCTATTCTTCAGTCCAAATCTTAGTTTGGATCTAACACTGACGATATTCATCCCTGAATTATGAAAGCTGAACTGGTAAGACTTTGTCATATCTTTGACCAGTCTAAACTGCGAAGAGATTGAAAAGACGCACTTACCAGTCCAGTCTACAAAGCTGGGAGTAGAGACTTAGCAACTATCAACCAGTTAGTCTAACATGTGTAGTCAAACTAATGAAATGATTATTCGGTGAGCTGTTCCAGAATATATATAAGGAAATGTCGTTTTAGACAAAGAACTACAGGGTGTCAGGAAACGTCTTTCATGCTTTACGGGGTGATCTGATATGGGCTTACCGTATACTTAACAATTTTTTTGAAAATTTTGCCTTATATTTCCTTTTCATCTAGTAATAATAAACTGAGCAGACATTCTAAGAGAGTTCAAAGACCGGGATTAGATTGTTTACCTCTGGGGTTCCATTTTTCTCGACAAGTAGTGAATTACTGGGAGTCTTTAGCCGGAAATGTAATATTGTCACTTTCTGTTAATACAATCAGAGAGAGATAAGATGTTCATTGTGGTACAAAGACTAATAACGGTTGGTTAACCTCCTATACTTTAGGAAAAAATAACCGAAGTTTATAATATATTTATTTAAATGACAGAACAGCTAATGGTATGTACTTCAAATTAACTGCTTGGTAGCAAACAATGTTGATAATTCTAAAGTGAGTTGCAATAGCTCACATATATTCCTCCACCTGGACTTTAGTGGGATGTAAGAGCTACAATCATATTGTTCGTCGACACATTGAACTGACTTTTCTTCAACTGGAAATCTTCAGATCAATGTAAATGCTGTTTGGAAACGATGTAACAATAGAATGCACATTTTTCAATCGCTGCAATTCATGACCTATGTCTTTAGTGCACGCTTCACAGTTGAGTATTACTTGGACATATAGTCAAGATAAAACAGATGATTATCACTCGTATTTTCGTTTACAAAAAAAAACACGCGAGACTGCCGTTACTAAGTATATCTGGAAAGCATCTACAGCAGAATACATGTCATGGCGATAATTTACCTCAAACGTGTATCAGTTTGCATTGAGTAATCAACTATTAGGTATCAGTATCCATTCTCATAATTGATCATATTAACAGGAAGCTTAACGACAGGACGTAATGACGTAGCTAAAATTCTGGCAATACTCACAAGAAAGCTTGATTAAATGTATCTTGACATCCTTTCAGTGTTTCTCGTACTCAATAAATATGAAAAAGAGATAATTCAATACCTCAAGAATTGAGCGAAAAACACGAATTTATGAAAATGATCATAAGTTTTGAATATCAGGCATATAATTAACAACACTTTACGTTAGAGAGTCGAATTTTCTAAATACTGCAGCAATAGGCCGCCAAAATGCCTTTAAAAACACCTTACACCTACGCGGAAACCCCGGGCTTAGCTTCTAGTCCATGCATTTTTTTAGTCATGCACCGGGTCTCATACAGCGCGCGGTCTTTCAATCTGACGTGACCTCATCAGTTTCTCACCAATTATCGGAAGTATACAATTCATCACCATGTTTGAGTATTTAAACATTTCCGACTATATGAATTGCTAGTAGAAAATCGCAATGACAAATTTGATAACCGTGACCGTAACAAGTTTAAACCACTTTGCAGTTTTAAGATCCTATTCGAAAGGTTTGCACATAAAGATCTCTCCACATAAACACTGATTCTATTTATACTTTTTGATTCCTTTTAGTGTAAATGTAGTTGATCTTCTGATTCCATTTGAGATAGTAATATTTATATTTTAATATAGTTTTTGTTTTTCTTAAGACATTATTCAATTTTCATACTTTTTTCTGAAGCACACTTATACTTTTTGAGTTGAACTTTGGTGATGATGATTATCATACAGGTTCGCTCTAACTAACTGGAATTGTGTAATTTCCATTATGAATTGAAGTACCATTCCAAAATGGGAAACCATTTGTGTATAGAAAAATTTACAGCAATTAGTCCCTTTTATAAATTTCGACAGAACAATGAGAAAACGGAGTTGATCTGAAAAATGTGATGTATTTGCTCTATACGTTTTGAACAATCTAGTCACACATATACTTGTCAGGGCATTTTTATATAAAAATTAATAAAGGTCAATTACATGCAAGTTAAAGTACAAACAAACAAACAAAAAATAACAAAGGCGAGAGAAAGAATAAGAAATTGTCACATTATCCTCGGTCATAGAATGACTCAAGGATTACCAAGGTAAATTCAAGGTTACGACAAATTGTTTTTGCACACATAAGGAGGGCTTAAATTTACGAATAGCCAAGGCTTCAATAAACTTAAAAATTCATCCTTGACAATTTCTATACAACGTTTTAAATTACATATTATCTTTGAAAGTCTGAACGTGATTTATCCAGAGAGGATAAAATAACGCTTTTGTGCCGATAGGAAAATTAGTTTGTTGCACTTGGTAATTCTTTTATATACCTCATCAATTTATCCGTTTATTATAATTTACATTTGGCTACTGATTGAACAATTGTTGGTTAAATAAATGGGTGGTAATATTTATTGGGATAATAATGTACATTTATATATAAAACGAAGTTTACAACCGTCATTTACC